TTTATCGCGCCAATGAGTGAAAATAAGTTTTCATCGAGGTAGGTCGAAACGAGAAGATATGCTTCAAACTGGACCTCAAGATACGCCCTTCCTCCGTCTTTGTTCGGGAATTTCGTGTGGCCCATGATCCCCTTGGGGAAACCTGTGTTATGAGTGGCTTTAGCTGTTATGGAACGCGAGTTGTTGAGTTGAGTATCTTTCCGCATAGAAGATACAGAATAGGTCGGGTTGAGTACCACTTATCAGCACTCGTCGTAAACTACCAAGAATTCATCTCAAGACTATTTTACAAGAAGTCTCTTCGAAGCTGCCAATAGGTTTACTTAATACTCCCGTTGCGCTTTCGAGCACCATTAATTCTCTTTTCTTTAACGACGATGAGCTTTGTGCGGATATCGCGCTCACATCTGGGCCCTTGACCTTGAGGTCTGTACTGTGACATTCCTCGGAATGGGCCACTCGACACTACTGAGACTAACTGTCTATAATTGTCCTCATCGAAGATGACTTGTGAGTTACTCATCTGTGTTGACCTTTACTTTGTTGCCATGCCTACACTACATCACCTTGAGTATACTGCACTACGAAGCTTAACGTGAGATAATAAATGCCGTTAAGCCAGTAGCTGTTGCGAACTGCGAAGAGTTATCGGAAGTTTTCGGCGCATCATGTGCGCTTGAGGCTTGCGATAGTAGTTGCTCTGGGACATCATCGAATGATACATCTTGACCATCGCGTCGAGGCCGTCGGGGTTTTCTCAACTTTTCCTCCTTTAAGAGAGCCATGCGTTTCCAATTAATCTCTTGTAGTATAAAACATACTTGAAAACATGGCAAGTAGTAACCGCCACAGTGAAGGGGCATGACGAACGCCGCTTCCTAGGCGTACAACAGTATCAAAACACATGTATACAACAAGTACATCATCATTGTACTACTTAATACTACAAGTCCATCATCGTTGTACACTTTTATACTAAGCACGCAGCACTACACGGTCACACAGAACAACAACAGCATGGATATACTCTTCTACTCCTCTTTAAACAGCAGGATCGTCTTATCGTTATGGGTTGCCAACATTACGATGTGTTCCTCGTGACCTGGGTGAAGGTCATAAAAGGTGCCCTTAAAGGTGCTCAACTCGCTTTTAAGGATGTAGTCCTTAACCTTCAGCTTAGAGGCTTTACTCCAGACACCTTGCAGGAGATAGCTAATGCGCCACTCGAAGTAGGCCACGTTGTGATATGCCTCCAGTCTGACAGTCCCGTCGGTCGAGATAAAGCGGTCGCATCTTTCTACCCTTTGGTCGCCGGGACGAATTGGAGTCAGAGAGACAACATGCACGTGGTCGTCGGATCTTCCGTAAGAAGACAAAGTCAAGCTCTTGAAGTATGAGTCGCCGTTGACAAACAGTGGGCTTGTTTTGAATCTTTGACCATGATACATAAGATCTTTGCTTTCAACAGGGGTCGTGATAGTGAGCTTCCTGGAGTTCTTGCCACCACGACCGGGCTTCTCAGCCTCGACGTTGAAGACTTTGCCAGTGGGTGGGGTCGATTTGCTGAGGCCTTCGATTAGGAGTATCTGAGGGATAGGCTCTCATTGGGCCTATTTCGTATCTTACACTGCGGCGATCCTCGGAATCTTTAACCAAGCATATGGTTTCATCGAAGACTTTGCCGTCTTGCTCGAGGTTGATATCGCATAGCACTTGTTTGAACTGCTGCTTGCCGTCTACTGTAAGGAGGAGGGGGAGAATGACGATGAAGTGGGTCAACATTGTATCTTGACAGAGACAACCTTAGATATTCTCAACTGAGAAATAACTATTCAACGACCACTTGTTTGCAAGGACCAGATAATAAGAGCGTCCGCAGATGCAATAAAGAGGCAAGTAAGATGGTCATAGAGATAAAAGAGACGACCAGAAGGGCAGTCACCGTAGGAATGCGAGACCTGGGTGAGACTGAAGCCATCGGAGAGAGCGGTGCAGGGAGGAGGTAACTGCGATAGTCAGAGTCGGCCCATGGTACAACAGTTAATGAGATCGACCTAGGCTAACCTTATACAAGGCGCTTGAGGTTAGGCTGAGTGACGTCGGAGTTGGAAGAGATTTACTCCATGCGTTTCGGGCGGAACGAGATTTGTGATGCGTTCATCTCGCGCCCGCCCTGGTGATCGATATTGTGCGTATATTGGGAGAGTATCTTGAGGTTGATGGAGAAAGATACGGAGTAGGTTGAGTTGGGGTATGTCGGCTGATGAGGGATATTCGAATCATCCTGAGAAGGACAAGAGCGAAGATTTCTTCTCACAGGAGGTAGGTGTGCTTTCTGGACCTAACTCGTATCTTGCATGGTGGAACCTAAGATACGCTTTTAATAGTAGCATCAAGTCTTCCGCGTTTTCTGTCCACGATTAAGAGTGGACCTATTCCGTATCTTGCCCGCTCAACCTAAAGATTCTCAGGAGCAAGGGCATGTGACTCACGACATGAAGTCGCCTTTCAACGGGATCGTCGGACTCACCGAGGCGATGAAAATGATGGTCAAAGATGAGGTCAAAAAGAAGAGGCTCACCTTGATCAACAGGTAGTATCATATCGGGCCTATTTTGTATCTTCCACGCTCAACCTCAAGATATTTCAGGGCCGGCTCCCGCTACTGCGGAATGGTAGAAGAGAACGTCGTTAGCGACAAGTTGGGCCGAGGGTGGATGAAAGTAGTCAAAACGGACGTCCGCCTGGGGGCTGTAGTCGAGGAAGTGGTGGAATTAATGAAGTAATAATGTCCGCCGTCGGAATCGAACCGGGGATTACCACAGGTTCGGACTAGACGGACATAACAGGCCGACCAAATCTGACGAGGTTGCCCTCGAGGACCAGACGGGGTGGGGGGAGGAAGGAGGGGGGCCGATAGTGAAGACCAGTGAACAACATTTTGCTAAGGCTGTATATGCTGTGGTAATGGGCTGGGCATGATTTGAATCTTTAGGGTTGGGCATGATTTGAATCTTTAAAGTTGGGCATGATTTGAATCTTTAAAGTTGGGCTGATGATTTGAAATTCTCCATTTATCTTCTGCTATGAATATACATAATTAAAGTTGGCGCGTGACGGTTCCTCCTGTAGTACTAATAATTTTCATACCCTGATTCATTTCAAATTCTCCATTTATCTTCTGCTATTGATATACATAATTTCATGGCGCGTGACGGTTTCTCCTGTAGTACTAATAATCGTCATACCCTACCCGCGACCTTCAGGTTCACAACGCTCTCAAATTCACCGACAAAGGCCACGTTATTTGCACTTCTAGAGATGAACCTGAGCATTTCGTGTTGGAAATTCACGACACCGGAATCGGCATTCCTGAGGGCCAATGGGCGCGAATATTTGAGCCCTGGGTGAGGCTCAATTTGGGCATGAAAAATATCTTTACATGTAATGATGATGGGATGTCATGGGGACTGGGGCTGAGCTCAGCTAAGGAAAGTATAGAAGAAATATGTGGCGGAAAAATTTTCGTGCGATCGTCGGAAGTGGGAAAAGGCAGTGTATTTGAAATTTGGATTCCGAAAGAGGACAAATGCATTGAAGGTGAATTTGAAAAAGGTGCTGAAGGTTTTGGATATTTGAATGGTTTAAGTGACCTGGGGGGGAAGTGGCTGTTGCAGAAAAGAGGCCTCGGGCATTTGGCACATACGCTCATCGTGCCGCACTTGGGTATTGCGGGCTTGGCGGATGTTCTGATAAAAACTGAAGTTAAAAAACCCATGCAGAAACAGTTGGGCATGATTTATAGATGTGGATTGAGAGTAGTGGAGGTAGTAGTTTGGGCCTATTTTGTATCTTACGTGGTTGAACCTAAGATATCATCAGGTTATGTCATTGATAAGAGATGGGTGTATGGCCTGTGAGCCGCTGCTGGCGTATCACGCCCCTTCGGAGGGGGTCGATATTGGTCCGATCGTGGAGAGTTGCCATGAGGAGTTGTTGAAGGCGAATGATAAAAGAGGGCAGCCTATGAAGAAGGATGGAGTTGATTTTATTAATCTTGTTCCGAAGGACGGTTTACCTCGGGTAAAAACGTTCGGTATGGATGATGTCTCCACTGTGGGCGATTCTTATTGGAATATGAGGAATGGGGAAGACCTATTCAACTTTGCATGGTCATGAACATGTTTCCAGAAATTTTTCCACGTGCGCGAAAATATTTTTCCTCATTATTTTTCGTTTAAATGTTTTCTACTCCCAATTTTTGCGATTGTTATTGCTGCAAAATCTTCGCTGTGCGCAAAGATTCTTCTCAGGTCCGACAAGATCCTCATCGTCTTCGACGTATTATTTACCAACTGGCTGACAACGCTCTTAAATTTACGACGGAAGGTGAGGGGGAAATAATTTTCGGCTTTGGTGTTTCTGGAGGAATTTTCAAATCATGATTTGTCGCTGTTGCTATCTAGTTCTCCGATAGAGAAATTTCCCGAATGAAATTTTTCGAAATATTATGATTTTTTGTTTTTCCATTCTTAATTTTACCAATTTTCATGGGAATTCTCAAGTTGATATGACGTTAATTGGATCGTGTAGGATTTTTTTCAGTCGGGAATTTTTCTCTCATTTAAATTCCTCGAATGGCTGAGTTTAAGAGCTGTAGCAGAACGGTGTAAATTTTCCTACATAACCATTGGATTTTTTAACCTTTATTCGTAGGAAAATTTTAAAAATTTTACTGTAAAATATAAATTTCAGTTTTACCAGAATTTAATTGTTGATTTTTTTCGTTTCTGGTGATATGACGATAAATTGGAGAATTTTTCCGAGTTCCGTAATTTTTGGATTTGAAGCTTAGTTTTTTTTTCCAAAATTTTCGATGGATGTTATTGTGGGTAATATTTTTTTATTTCAGGAAATGTGACGATAAACGCTTCAGCTGAGAGCGATGGAGGTGTTAAACTCATTGTGACCGACACGGGCTGTGGTTTTGATGCGGAAGAAAAAGAAAAATTGGAAAATCCATTTTTTCGAGCGCAACCTGAAAAATACTATGGAATTGGACTTGGCCTGACTATGGTACGAAATATGAGCGATAAAATGGGGTTGACGATTACGACACATGGAGAAAAGGAGAAGGGGGCGCGGTTTGAAGTTTTTGTACCAACGGAAATGAAAATGCAGAATTTGTCAGTGATGGGAGAAGGTAGTAGAGGGAGGCGATCGATTTTGATACTGTATATATGGCTTATGTTGGAATCTATGTTTGCTCCGTTGAGCTCGAAACTAGAATGCAGTACGTATCAACTTGATACGCAACTGCGTGCTACTTTAGAGGACATATTATAGTGAACAAGTTGTCGCTATCACAGTTCCTACGGATACTTTCATCACAACACATGTTCATAGCCATTGTTACATTGTATATGCGATAGAGTTTCACATTGATTTTCATCAACCTCAAGAAAAACCCACATTTACATATCAAATTGGCACGCACTGATAATGAAAACGTTTCACGTACTGTTTTCATTATCACGGGTGGAACTTTATTATTAGAGTTTATGCACGATCGGGGTAGGAGTAGATGTAGGACGGTAATTTTTAGTATTATCGATAAAGCATTTCACCCGATAGAGTAATACGTATATTCGAAATTACGGGGGATGTGACTTTTGTATAGTAGAATATGGTAGCGCACAGTGGAAATTCATGTTAGTTTTCGGGGGGGAATTGTGATATTTTTTGTATAGTTGAATATTAATTTCGTTATTGTTGGGATCGAACCTATGCGGGTTTGCTGAGCAGGAGGAGCATCTGTTGGTCTGACGAGCTCCCTCGTGGCCAACTCGACGCCTTTGAAGCCGCCCCCGACGGCCGGCCCTCCCGAGAAGAGGCCGGACAAACCGTTAGAGGGGGAGGTGGGGGAAGAGGAAAAAACAAAGGTGAAACCGAAGGCTAAGGCGAGGGTTAAGGGCAAGGCTAAGGTAATGGGAAGGTCCTTGGGTCGATTCTTGGGGAGGGCATTTTGAGAAAACTACCTGAAATAAAAAGGATGAATGTTAAAAAAAGAGTATAATTTTTTAGTATATTGTATATCGATCGGGTGATCGATTTTGGTGGTTTATGTGAGTTATGAAAAATATTCAGAAAAATGAGAAATTTTCATAGTATTTTTTGTAATTTGGATTTGCGGAAATATCTTTGAATTCTTCGCCGTGCGCATTTGGAAAATATGCATATGGTCGCTTATTGGTGTTGGTGATGACGAGGAAAGTTCGTAAAATTGTTATTGAGTTTTTTTACGAATCTAGTTAAAGGAATTTCTGAGTGATATTCAATTGGCTTTGTGAGATTAACTTTTCTGAATTCTTCCACAGTTTAGCTGAGGAAAGCAAAACTATATTCCAACACGATTCGTCAGGCTAAGAAGAAGGCTGCAGTAGTGAAGGAGGAGGATGGGGAAACTAAGGAAACTCCGACAGATGCGAAGAAAGGTATCTTAGGTTCAAGATGGTAAGATACGGAATAGGCCCATTTAGATACGGCATCGGCTCCTGTGGTGGTGGATACTAAGAGTACTATATCGGCATTGGAAGCGAAAAAGAGGGAGTATGAGGCGAAGTTGAAAGCGAAGGGCGAGGGGGTAGGGTGGAATATTTTATTATGTTGAAAATTATTTTTTCATTTTTTTGGGAAAATTTTTGGTGAATATTCCTCTGTGTTGGTGATAGGCGTTTTACGTGAAGTGGCGGCGTAAAACTCTGTGAAAAACGCGATATTCGCGGTGATATGCAGTAGTCGTGAAATACGTTTTTTTCATATCACTAGGGTGGTGAAACTCCATTGTATGTCAATATTATGAATTTTTTATTATTTACCATATATTTGAATTTTGTTGCCGTAATTTTGCGAATTTTGAGTTGTTCGACAGACTACCGCGCTCGCCCCGGCCAAAGTTGCGACTCCGAGTAAGTCAGCGGTTCCTAATGATGCAGAAATTGAAAAAATGAAGGCTGAGTTGGCGAATGAGCGGCAGAAGGTGGTGGACCTGTTTTGTATCTTTATCACTTGAACCTTGGATATTTTCAGGTTGGTGAAGCGATGAAAGCGTTGGAGTCGGCGGAAAGGAAGACGGCGGAAAGTGTTCGGGAAGCGGAAAAGTAATTTTGTGGCGCGTGACGGTGTGGGGCGGCGAATTCTTATTGGCGATAGGGCTAGGGCGGAGAAATTGAATTTCCAGAAGAAGGCTAACGAGTTGGACGATCGAGTGAGACAACTCGAAAGGGAATTGAGGAGGAAAGTAGGGGGATACGCTGGAAGAAATTATTACCGTTATTACCGTTATTTCCGTTATTTTCGTTATTTTCGTTATTTTTGTGATTTTCGTTATTTTGGTCATTTTTGTGATTTTCGTTATTTCTGGTATTTTGGTTGTTACCATTTTTCCCGTTATATCCGTTATATCCGTTATTCTCGTTATTTTCCTGCGTAAATTATACGACGGGATGAGCAAATATGCACATGGTCAACTGCGTGTGATGGTGACAATATGTGATAATTCTGAGGAGGAAATTATATGAGTTTGTATGTATACTCGTAAATTTTGTGAGGAAGCTGTTGAACTGAGCTGAGGAAAGCAATTGTATATTTCGCGATGTATGGGTTTACTATTTCAGCCACAAAAAGAGGAGACGGCGAAAACTGCAGTGAAGAAGGAATCTTCGAATGAGGACAAAATTAAAATAGAAGAATTAAAACATGATATTACATTATTACAAGTATAAATGGAGGGTGGTGGGATTGAACCGGGGACCTTTGGAATAGGAAACGGCTCGATGTGACCGCGAGACTGCAGCGAAAGAAATCGATCGACTTACGCGGGAGAAGGGAGAAATTGAGAGAACACTGGAGGACCTAGAGGGTATCTTATGTGCATGCGTGCAGAATTTTTAGTGAAGTTTTTTTCCCGTTTTAGTGACAACTCTGGCGAAAGAAATTGAGAAATTGAAGAGCGAAAAAGTCGAATTGCAGTTTAATTTGGTGAAGGCTAGGAATGAAAAAATCGCGGTAGGGAAAATTTTTCCGGAAAATTTTGGAAAATTTTTAATTTTTCCAGTTGGACTTGAAGTATGCTAAATTGCAGTCGACTGATCCGCATAAAGAA